AGAGAGAGAGAGAGAGAGAGAGAGAGAGAGAGAGAGAGAGAGAGAGAGAGAGAGAGAGAGATCATGTAACTCTGTCTCGCAATTTTGAACACTAGCCCGACCTGCTAATGCGTGAGGTTTACAAGGCCCAGTGGAGCCTGCAGTTTCCACAAATGAGACCTTTCCTCATCAGGAATAGAGAACTCGGGTAAGTTGGACTTGGCTGTGGTTTGATTGGTGTTCTCTCCTAATGTACACAGTAGCGAGAGGATGGAAGATGAGATAAAAACAGAGAAGTAAAAACACGTGATTGAGATTAGAAAATAGCTTGGCTAAGAAGGGAGAAAAAAAAAACAAAGGGTTACCTGAAATGGAAAGAAAGGAAGAAGTGACCAGGCTCGGAGGCAGTCCCAGGGGAATAAGAGAGCTGACGTAGAGAAACATTGCAACAGCACTCAGGGCATACACACAGTAGTGCCTCCGAGCCTGGCGTCTGAACCTGGTCACTTCTTCCTTTCTTTCCTTTTCAGGTAAGCCTTTGTTTTTTCCCCCCCCTTCTTAACCAAGCTATTTTCTAATCTCAGTCACGTGTTTTTACTTTCTCTGTTTTTATCTCATCTTCCATCCTCTCGCTACTCTGTACATTAGGAGGGAACACCAATCAAGCCCCCTCGTCGTGAGCGCAGAGAACATTTTTCGGTTGGGAAGGAGGTTGGTTCTCTGGGCATTATGGTGGGAAAGATGCATTTTAGAGATGGAGGAGGCAAAGGTGGAGGCGCGGGAAGTGGAAGACCAAATCAAACAGATGCTTCAAGCCGAAATTAGCACCCAATGGCAGGCGTTAAAGGAAAAGCTGGACCTGTTCCATACGAAAAAGGACATAGAGGCCGCCATTGCTCATTCTGTATCAACTGGTTGGGTGGTAGGCGGGAAAGGGGGCTGGATGGCAGAAGTGTTCTGGACAGGAGACGCAGTTCGGGTGGGGGCCCGGCCGAGGACGATCCGTCAGGGGATGACTTGGCCAGGGACTACAGGCTGATCTCTCATGATTTGGACAAGGGTGGAACCCAGTGTCCCCTTGCGACCCCCCGTCGGATTTTGCGGACACCTTTCCCCACACGGTCACACCCCTTATCGATGGTCGAAGTCCTGCACGGAGGAAGAGCACTGAGGAACACCGGTCTATCTGTAGCACTGCTAATAAGTAATGGGTGAGATGTATGGGACGCTGGACCCGGTTTCCAGCAGGGATCTGCCATCATTGTGATTGGTTCTTAGAACAGATTCGGAGTCCTTTATTTCAGCTTCAATCAGAGGAGGGGGGGGGGGGGGGGGGGGGGGGGGGGGGGGGGGGGGGGGGGGGGGGCGAGGAACAGCTGTAGGCGCTAAGGACCCGGTGCCCCCGGGGCCCAAGGCGGCAGCTGCCCCCCCGGTCTAACTCCCGCCCTGCTCAGTCAATCCCCTGCAATTCAGGGTAATCAATGCTGGCAGGGATATGTTTTGGGACTAAAAATGTTGTATTATACATGGGACGCTGGACCCGGTTTCCAGCAGGTGATGCTCCCCACCAATAGATGGAGGGGCCAGCAAAAAAGAAAGGAAAAAAAAGGGAAGAAAGGAAAAAAAAGGGAAGACTGTCTTCGATGCATCCGACTGCCATTACCTGCCATTACCGCCACACCAGGATGTATCTGATCGTAACTACGTCCAGAACTGTTTTTTCACAAAGGTCACACCTTTGTGTGAGTAAACAGATAAGTGAATCTGCACATCTACCTCCCCCACAGCTGAGGTTACAGGATGGCGCTACCCATCCCATCATGAGCCCGACGTCCTCCACCGTGCAAGCACGGACTCGAACCGGCGACCTTGGCCCCAAGAGGAACCACTTATCTTAACCACTACAGGCAGGACACGGTGTTCAAAGGCGGAACCATGCCGGTCGCGATATCCACCCCACCCCACCCCACCCCACCCCCGCAAGGCTGCCGTAGTGTCCACACTCAACAGACACCTCACACACACAATACCACACAAGGGACACAACAAATTCTTGCATACCTCTCTGTCGCCAATCAGCAGCACAAATCTTTACCACTGCGCACTTTTGAAGGACCCCACATATGAAAATGGGCAGGCCTGGAAAACAGAAAGTAGTGTTTTTGAACCCTTTTTTTAGGGGGGTGGGGGGTGGGGGGGAGGGACGCGCGGAAATAATCACTTGGATAGCCAAAAACAATTATAGCGAGCTCGTGCAACGTGTTTCTAAGGGGATGAAATTACCAAGTCGTGGTGCACATGGAGACAGTAAAAAAGAGGGGGATCTTTTTTTTTCGAGTCGCAGCTCGGCTGGGAGCTGTCAATGTTCATGCAGATGTGGTTCCACCGACGTCCCACCGATAGTTTGTTTGACTAATGTTTTTTTGCATTTGAATAATGTTTTTTGCAATAAGAGCTGAATTGGAAATTTCTAATGCAACGTGGGTACTTTTTGCCATTTACAGAATGCAAGATGATGAAGAAGATGGAGCATTTCTCACAAGAGTGAGCTTCTATTCACACACTGTGAGGAAAACCGCACAGCGTGTGGTTCTATTCACATGGAGGTGGGATTTTCTCACAGCGTCTGTGTTGTGCTATTCACATGGAAGTGTGTGTGTGTGGGGGGGGGGGGGGGACTTGATGATCACGTGAGTGAGTGGAAGAGTGAGTAAGAGAGGGAGGCAGTGCGGGAGGGCTGGCTATGGCTCTGGCGGTGTATATGTTGCGAGCTAGGTTGTGAGGGAGCGTGGGAGTGTCTGAACAAGTGAATGAGCGAGGGAGGGAGGGAGGGAGGGAGGGAGGGAGGGAGGGAGGGAGGACCAGCTATGACTCAGACTGTGCATAGCTTGGGAGCTAGGCTGCGAGGGAGTGGCTGAACAAGTGAACGAGTGAGTGAGTGAGGGAGAGAGGGAGGGGGGGAGGGAGGGAGGGAGAGATGGAGGACCGGCTATGACTCTGACTGTGCATATGGTGGGAGCTAGGCAGCGAGAGAGTGAGAGAGAGTGACTTAACAAGTGAGCGATTTAGTGAGGGATTGAGTGAGCGAGTGAGCCAAGGAGGAAGGGAGGGAGGTAAGGAGAAAGGTAGTGAGGGAGTGAGTGAGTGAGTGAGGGAGGGAGGAATCGAGGCAGTGAGTGAACGAGTGAGTGAGTGTGTGTGTGTTCGTTTAAACCACCAGTACTTCCTCACGACGTGGCCGTTAAAACACGCTGACCGTGGGCTTAACGAACGGGAGAGGCCGAGAGTGCCCAAATGCATCGGAGTGGAACTGTTTCCACTCGAATTTCTCCTGCGGGTGAGATATGGGAAAGGTCCTGGCTTTTCAATGAGCAACCCTAGTCCGTGAAATTGGCCCATCTGACATTATGCTTTGCACCTAAATAATAGGCCCCGACCGGCCCTCGGCTTCCGGCTGAGTACAGCTCAGGCTGAACTTTGTTGTCCTCCACTTCCTGCAGGAGTGGGGTTATGACATCCCAGGCAGCTTGCAGCTCGTCACTCCGAATGAATAACTGTTTGTCGCCTTCGATCACGTCCAGGAGCAGGCGCTCATATGAATCAGGGACCTGACCGTTATATCTGTCCAGCACCACAAAATGCAGTATACACATAGCAAAAGAGTCATGGTTTGTTTTTCTGTATCTGATCCGTGGTCCATCGGGCCACACACACACACACACACAAAAAAAAAAAAAAGGCCCTTATGACCCTGGCTCCAAAAAATAAAAAATAAAAAAAAAATCATACTAGGTTGCAACTAATTTGAAGTTGCAATTTGGAATGCTGTCATTTCGCTCCTGCTCATTTTCCTTGCATATATTATGATTTATTATCTGTTCTGAACTATCACTGTCTTTGCAGTGTGGGTACATCTCAATAGCATATTATAATATAATTATCTGAGAATATATTACTATTTTCAATTTTTCACATCATAAAAAGCAAGAAACAAGAATGACTGGGAGGGAAAACTCCACAAAACAGATGCACATCATTTTTATTTATTTTTTGCATCACAGCATTGCTTAAAAAAAAAAAAATTAGTGTCTCACGACTGCTGTGATTACTTGGTGATGACCTTCAATTTTGATGATAATTTTTTCGTCGACTTTTCAGTTGTTGGGGCTGTGGAGTTTGTTGTGGAGTTGGCTGTGGGGTGAAATCTACAGTCTTCCCCCGAATACAACGTACGGTCATTATAGCTGAATTTAGACTGAAAGATAGACCAAATTCGGCGATAATGACCGTGCGTTGTATGCGGGGGAAGACTGTAGTGGTGCCCTCGATGTGCTTGGCGTGATGCCTTGCCCACTGAGGGCCCCACCTAATTTTGTAAACGACGCCGGGCCCGGTTACCGGCTTTTATAAAAACAAACAAACAAACATAAAAAAAAAAAGGTCCTTATGGCATGGCCTCCACATCCATTCTGGGGAGCATCAGTCCAGTTGCTCTTCCACAGGCAAGTCGGAAAAAAATAATTGCATGATGAATACACACTCTTGGGGCTTACCCAAGGTTCCCCCCATTACGGTCCGGGAACGCCGGGCCAAGTTTCCCGTCATTGGCTGTCCCGGGACTCCGGCTGCGCCGGGACTCCGGGAACGCCTAATTTGAACATCGTTGATTACTTACTTCAGGAACATTGATGGTCATTATGATTAAAAAAAAAAAAAAATGATCATAATCCGCTTAAAAAAAAAAAAAAAAGATAGAAAGAAAGAAAGAAAAAAACTTCACATAAAAAAGGAGGTCTTTCCGAACAACTGTAAAAATATTGGAAGAAAGGAGAGAAGATTAGCATAGCCCCAAAAAGAATTTCACATAAGAAAGGTCATTCGGGGCATCGGCAAACTGGAAAAATGGAGAGAAGATGAGCATGGCCCCTGCGCCAGGGCGACGTACATAAATCGAGAAAATGGAACAAATTGCAAAAAACGAAGAAGGAAAAACTTCACATAACAAACAAACAACGACCCCTTAATGCATGCATGCATGCATGCATGCCCCACTAAGGAATCATAAGGGCCCATAGTGGCCCCATATACTAATCCCCTAGGCATAGTTCCAGGTTCTGGTACATGTCGCCATGGGATTTTCTTTTTTTCTTTCTCTTTCTTTTCATGGGACTGTTTCTAGTTATTTGCTCGACGTCCATCTTTCCCTGGGTTGTGCTTCGCCTTTGATGTCACCAGGAGGTCGGAAGGCCGTGATCGCAAAAGGCCACTGGAATACCTTTTTTTTAAGTTTTTACCACCCTCATTTATTGTTTCTTTTCTTGTTTCAACGATGACGTTTTAGGAGATATGTGGGCTATGTGCGCTTTTCAAGGTGGATAGGGCCCCAACATCCACCAAAAAACGGCATCCTTAAAACATGCCCCAGGCACCCCCAAAAGCGTGGTTTCCTGGTGTATGTCTAGCTTCCGTCGGGATCGTCAGACTGCTCCCCTGAAATGGTGCAAAGTTGCAAGCTTTTTTTTTTTTAGGTGGCCCAGGACCAGTTGCCCGGCCGGGCCAAAAACAAAAAAATGGAAAAAAGAAGATTTTTTTTGCTTAATTATTTTTAAGTCGCAAAGAATTTTGGTCCGACCCTGAGGCAAAAGTTGTTCAGTTTCTTTTTCAGGACAACATAATTGTTTTTTCGCTTTTTCGCCCCCCCTGGTCCTTGCCTGCCCGGCCGGCCTGGTCATAACACAGGAACAGAACTTCAATCAAAATCCAAATGCAAATAATAATTTTATAATTTGAAATAAACGACCCTGTGTTATAAACACAGATGAGGCAAAAAATGAGTTAAAAGCGCAGATGTCCACCCTGTGTTATAAACGCAGATGAGGCAAAAAATGAGTTAAAAGCGCAAAAAATGAGTTAAAAGCGCAGATGTCCACAGATGAGGGGAATGCGCCTTTCAACAACTGTTTTTTTTTTTCTTTATGAAAAAGGGAAAACACACCTTTCTCTGAAGTGCAGATTAAGGAAGGACGAGTCCAGCTGTATGCCCAGGCCCGGGATTTTGTTGTTGATCTTCAGAAATATCCCCTCATCAGGAAACACTCTGATCAGCAGTTCGTTGGTTGCCTTATCCATGTTACTCCCAAAGCGCTCCCGATAAAGATTACCGGGAACGTGACGGAACTGGATGCGAATCTCTTCCCTGCTCGTCCACATAGAGCAACAAATACCACACCACACATCCAAACAATAAAGACGGAAATGCACAGTCAAAACATAGCAAGAACACCCACCCAGAGAGAGAGAGAGAGAGAGAGAGAGAGAGAGAGAGAGAGAGAGAGAGAGAGAGAGAGAGAGAGAGAGAGAGAGAGAGAGAGAGAGAGAG